TACCCCGTATTTAACCTTTTTATTTAGCTTACTCGTTTGTTTGTTTGGGTCTAAAGTAATTGGTATTCTATCCCTTTCCCTGAAGATCGATCTGATATTTGGTAGGTTTACACTCTTAATCTTGATGACTATCATCATCACCAACAGCCTATAAATGCCCACTGCTGAGCAAAGCCTCTTCTCACACGGATAAGTTTGAGCATTAATCACCACGCTTGCTCTATGCGGGTTGGCGATTACAGACTTATAATTAGAAATTATAAGCCCAGGTTTCCTCACGATGTTTTCCTACACCGTTTGTCAGTGGTATCTAGATAAACTTAGAAAGTACATATAACTCGGAAAAAGTCACATTGGTACTTGCCGTTGGTAGGTTTCGAACTCTCATGCATGAGAAGCGGGCGTCTTAAACCTCCGGGCCACCACGACACTTGATGACTATAGTACTATCTATTTTTGTCCACAACTACGTTAAACAAAATATAAATATTTTTATGTAGTATTAATACACAGCTTATGGCTTATGTCCAGCAGTGGACGAAAACAGGATGTTGATAATGATGATGATTAATACGCAGCACCGGTTGGCACGATGGCTGGACAACTGGAACATCACTTTGTGTGATCCATAGATTGTTGTTACGTGTCTGTGTGTGATGTGTGTATGTGAACTTGTATGTTTGTAAACGCACACACGACACAGGAGGAAATCCAAGTGTGGGGCAAAATCCTAGAGCAACACAACGTTTTCTTTAAACAAAAAAGAAAAAATGATCAACTAAAAATTACGAGTTCCTCACGTAAATATACTGAGAAAACCTCTACTAGTTTCGAGTCACAGGGGGCTTACTCTTGAATCCAATTCCGATCGATCGACATTGGTATTGTGAAATTTCGTACTCTTGAGTTGCAAGACTGGCGCCCATTGCATCCGTATTGCGTGGATATTGAATGAACTAAATGGTATTGAGTTTGGCTTTATATTCAGTACCCTGAATGCTATTTTAACAGCTACGATACGGGTTGTATATTGTTGATATTGAATAGTTATTTTATTTTATTGGATTGAAATTGCATTGACATTGAGATTGGTTTCAAGAGGGATCACCCTTCCCCATGAGCAGAAAGGGCGGTCGTGGCGATATCACGCAGCCTACGCCAGTAGAACTTTTCTCAGTATGTTTACGTTAGTAATTCATCATGTTTAGTAAATTCAATATGTCTTACGATAGTTATTAAAAAATAAAAAATAATATTAAATTATCTTCTAATTCCTTATTCAGACAAGCAATCCTGGCGGGAGCAAAGGAGAAACGCGCTGCCCTGGTCAGGGAGCGCAATGAGATGATGGCTGCTGAAATAATGGAGCAAGAAGTCAGAAGAGATGTGCTGCAGAAGGCCGTCAATTTGTTTCAAGGTATCATTTTAGTTTACCAAAATATCTCCAATCCTTGAAGGGCTCGCAACGCGCTTGTAACTTCTATGGTGTTCTGAGTGTCCATGGGCGACGCTGATTGCTTACCATCAGGTGATCCATCTGCTCATATGCCATAAACATGTACATAATACATTCATGTTTCTTCCTGCTTCGACTGCCTTGTTCACCGAGAGGTCGCAAGTGCTACTGTCGGGCAAGAGGTCTCGGGTTCGATTCCCGGGTCGGGAATGGGATTATTATTAGGTTTTAAAAATAATAAAATCTCAGTAGTTGCACGAAGTCTGGAATTGTGCCCGATATATGGCAATAAGCTCACCTCCTATTACATGGGACTCATAACATAAATAGTGAACAGTGGGTGTTACATTGTACAGTGGCATTAAGTGCCGTTCCATAAAATTCGGACAAGCTATAAAACCGTTTAATAAAAAATATCATTACGTCATTATGTACATACACCATGAAATTATCATCCTATGTGGTGGTAATAGAGGTGAACTCAATCTAAAGAGCGCCCTAGGCAAGCTCTTCCCTCGAAACCCAGCCATCGCGAAGGACACTCCGGACGTCGGGGATCGTGAGACGATCTCCGGCTACCGTAAGCGCGGGCCTGCGGACGGCGAGCATGGGTGGCGAGCCACCCGACCAGAGCCAGACCCGAGCGTACGGACCGGGGCTCCAGCTCGAAGTGCAGGAGAAGGAACGGGGTGGTTTTTAGTCAGTAAGAGTCTGACACTCCTTTCCGCCACACCCAGGCGGGAGAAATCCTTCGATGATTTTCCCCCCATAAAAAAAACAAAAACGTAGCCTTTTTTGTTTCTGCTCTTCATAAGCACCACTACATTGTTGGCCGGCCGGCCGCCACTAGATTGACAGTTGGGCACGCGTGTTTCGCGGCTTTAGGGAAACACGTTTGCTTTAGGGATAATACGGCTCTGGATAACATCAGAGTAGAAAACATTTGTCACTACTTCTTAGGTGTCGTAAGACCGATGTCTGTTCTCAGTCACGTCAAGTTTTTTAAACGTTGCCCCACACTAGGGTTTTCTCCTGTGTCGTGGGTGCGTTTACAAACATACAAGTTCACATACACATGACACACAGACCCGAAACAACAGTTTGTGGAGTACACTAAGTGTTGTTCCGTGCGGGAATAGAAACCGTGGCACGCTGCATGGCAGCCGGTTGCCCAGCCACCGCACCAACCGTGCAGTCATACAGTCCGTTATGAAGTTAAAGTTCAAACATAGATCATGAAAGGGTACCTATAATAATAGTTTTTTTTTAGTTTTTAACCTTTTCATATAAGTAAATTGTTCTTTTCAGGTTATGAAAGGCAAAAAATAAAGTACGAACAGAAAAAGCAAAAGGATGCAGAGGTAAGATAAATAAAATTCCGAAATCACTCAATAATACTTTGTCCGACTCATTCAAAGCCGAGACCTGCTTTGTAGTTGCACTCGTAATAACTCGACCAACAGTAAAGAGTGAATAGGTTGCTTATGGGACGACGTGCTCCATCGTAGACCGCATCATCGCTTACCACCAGAGGGGGAGATAGTGGACAAAAGCCGAGCTATCCTAGCTAATATTATGAAACCAAAAGTTTGGACTGCGCCGTTGGCACGGCGGTTGCGCAACTGGGTGCCGCGTAACGTATAGCTGATTCCCGCACGGAGCAACTCTGTGTAATCCACAAATTTTTATTTCGGATCTGAATGTCATGATGCAGACGTTTATTTTTGTTTGTGAACGCACCCGCGACACAGGAAAAAATCTTAATGCCGGAAAGTAAAAAAAAAAATTTTTATATTTATTATACCTCTTTGTAGTGTATGTACCTACTTAACTACTTTTCGTGGCATGTTACATACTTATCTTTATTTAACTTGGAGTACAGACAAAGTTGGTAATAAAAAGATGTTCCGGGTCTGGTAGTCACGTGTATGTAAACTTGTATGTTTGTAAACGCAACCACGACGCAGGAGAAAATCCTAGTGTGGGACAACGTTTTTAGAAAAACAAAGCCTACTTAACAATTTATACAAAAAAAAACCAAGATAATAATTTTCCAATGATCGTTTTCCAGTGGCTACAATATCTTCGATGTGATGGACTCCCAGACCCTCGCATAGTCACAGAGCTGAACACCTTCCTCCACCTCTGGCAGCAAAATGAAAAGGCCGATGACAATGAACTGGACAGGAAGTTCCTGGAAGTTCTGCCGGTATGTCATTTTTGGAGATACGAACCATCTATATCAATAATTTCGTCAAGGGGTACGGTAGACTTGATCGAAACATTACCTGAATAACAAAACATCAATTTCTAGTCGACAACATACAAGGTATTGTTTTAAAGCCGCGTCATTTTCTAGGAGGTAACTCGGGCATCGATTCTGAGTCCGAATCAATAAAAAAAATTGTAGTTAGGTTAATATTTTTCATTTTTCTGTAAATTACGGAAATCCGTAAGTGCGAACTACATGCCGCCGTCTTGTAACTAGCTTTATAACGCGGCTTAACACACACAAAGTCAAACACGTAATTGATATTATTCTTAATTCCATAAAACTCCAATAAGGAACATTTCTGTCGCTTATTCTCAAATACTGTCGGAAAAAGTGGCATGGCCCGAAACTTTCTCTTACATTGAACCTTTATGACTTCTGTGATACACCTTGTATATCCGCAAAATTCGGATTACGGAGATTATTTCGTTTTATGAATTCATTTTAATGACACTGACAGACAAACCGCAGTCGCCATCTTGAGTAGACAATTAACGTTCCGTTTCATACTAACTCTCAACAACACGCCTCGCCAATCAACACGTTGTCGCGTCAAAAAAGTATAAATTAACAAGAAATATGAATACGTTCACGCGAACGAAGTCGCGGGTAACAGCTAGTATAGAATAGAATCAGTTGTTGCTTTGCGGAATTCCATACACTAACAATAACTGGGCAATTATGAACTGTATATTTCGCTGTAGTAATGAATGTGCAGCATACAGTATGCAGCACTCGCTTGCAGATAAATACTCATACGGCAGAGGTGCGACACAAAACACACACACGACACACAATAAACCACTCAAAGCACACTTGACATATTTTTATTTATTTAACTCTATGCAACAAGAGTACATAGGCGGGCTTAATGTCATGGGCAATCAAATATTCAAACATAACACATATGTATACTATCCTCCATAGAACATCTTCAGGATATTTTGTTGACTCGACGGCTCCCGCAGCTCGAACGAGGTAACTCCACCAGTTTGAAGCCAAAATCGTAACCCTTAGGGCTTACTCTTGTACGGCATGCGTGACAATGAATTATGATTAAAATATTTTTATTCCTTTCAGATCTTAGATATGCTGGAAACATTTCTCAATAACGCAAGACAGTATACACAAAGACAGATTGAGAATTACGACGAGGTGAGTACAAACAATCGGCGTTGCCTATGGACATCCGAAACATCAGTGGCGTTACGCTGCATATAGTATAGTATGTATAACTTGCTATATAAAGTTTTCTTTCATTCTAGGTCCGTCTAGCTCTCAGGGCTCAACTAGCCAGCGCTATTGAAATGGCTTCCTATTCCTTACTGCGAAATATAGAGAAAAATCTAGTTTCTGAGTCGACAAAAGTATCAACTTATCAGAGGGAGTTCAAAGGTATGCGGTTAAACATCTGGGTTGCTATAAAATGGCCCACGAAGAAACCAAAACCAGTGGAACATGAGCCGTGAGTTTTTAACTTTTAAGTTTAGTAAAAAAAGCGACAAGATTTAAGTTTTTTAAGTCAACAAAATATTCATCATCATCATCATCATTAACAGCTTATAAATGCCCACTGCTGAGCAAAGCCTCTTCTCACATGGAGAAGGTTAGAGCATTAATCACCACGCTTGCTCAATGCGGGTTGGCGATTTCAAACTTATAATTAGAAATTATAAGCCCAGGTTTCCTCACGATGTTTTCCTTCACCGTTGGTCAGTGGTGTCTAAACAATCTTAGAAAGTACATATAACTCGGAAAAAGTCACATTGGTACTTGCCGTTGGTAAGTTTCGAACCTGCACCCTCGTGCATGAGAAGCAGGTGTCTTCAACCTCCAGGCCACCATACAACAAAATATTACATTCTTTTAATCCATGAAATGCACATTAAGTTAACATAACATAACATCACTCCTTTTATCCCAGAAGGGGTAGGCAGAGGTGCACATTACGGCATTTAATGCCACTGTACAATGTAACTCCCACTTTTCACTATTTAAGTTATGAGTCCTGGGGGTAAGCCTATTGCTATATACAGGGCACAATTCCAGACTCCGTGCTACTACTGAGAATTTATAAAAAACCCAGTATTACTTTGCCCGACCCGGGAATCGAACCCGAGACTCCTTGCCCGGCAGTCCCACTGGCGACAATTCGGCCAACGATGCAGTATGCACATTAAGTATAAAATTATATTTGTGTGTCGTGGTCAAATCGTGGTAGCTCAGAGGTTTAAAATGGCCGCCTTTAACGGCAAGTACCAATGTGACTTTATCCGAGTTATTTATGTACTTTCTATGATTATCTAGACACCACTGACAAACGGTGTAGGAAAACATCGTGAGGAAACTTGGGCTTATAATAGGGTAGTTGCCTAAATTTTATTTTAATGCCCGTCTGGTAGATTATTTTAAAACATTAGACACGTATTTTTTATTTTCTCACAAAATTAAATGCTTTCGACGATATATTGATTTGAAATGTCGTGTGACGTCACAGCGTGCTACAAAATGTAGCACGTTGTGACGTAACTACCTCCCACTCCTAAACTTAACTCCATTTTATTTAAGTATTGTAACTTTATACGAGAAAATAAAAAAAATACGTGTCTGATATTTTTTCATTATCTAACTGACGGATTTTTAATTTTCATTCCCTGGCAACTACCCTATTACTAATTTTAAGTTTGAAATCGAAAACCCGCATTGAGCAACCCTGGCGATTAATGCTCAAACCTTCTCCATGCGAGAAGAGGCCTTTGGTCAGCAGTGGCCAGTTATAGACGGTTGTAGTGGTGAGAGACCCCTCTACCTACCCCTTTTTAAAATAACAATCTCAATAACATTTTCAGTGAACCAGTAGAACTATCGTTTCCATCAATGAAAGTATCAGTGAAACTACCGAAAATAATAGACGGCTCCTGTATCTGCGTGCGCGCAGCTCGATCCGAAATAGATCTTCTTAGCGAACGTTCGCAAAGTTTCGCTCTAAAATCTGATATTCCGAAACGATATGAAGGTATAGTAATAATAAATAATAATAGTAAATAATTTATTCAAAAAATATAAACAGAAATTTTATATGTATGTCTTAATTCTATATTCTTATTGCTATGATATACCATGTGCCTGAACTAGGTTTGAAACCTGTACCTCAGGCAATAAAAACCGCTTAGTATTGAGAACTTAACTCGTCGAGTACCGGTTTTATAGACACAATTAAAGAACAATAGGTCGCGGTCACCGGTGACCGCTTGGTGTTTGACAGATTAAGGTCTAATTAACAATAATTATATAATCATTCTTATATTAAATTATTTGATTACTCAAATTATACCTATATATAGAAATGTATACTTGATAAATTAACTTGTTTCCAATTTTATTTACATACAATCAGCAAATATTCGGTCCGGTCATAAGTCAGTTGTTGCAAATATGTGCTGACACATTTTTTGCATTGATAGCAATTCAAGCTATAAATACAAAGTTGCTTATTTAGCCTATTATAGAGGTATCTAATCTATATTTTTTCTACAAATAGCTAAAGTGTTGTGTTAGAATCTATTTTTTTTTTATGGTTTGTCTTCTTTCTAGTCGGTTTCTTCATTACTGAAGGTCGTGTCTAGTCTGGTGCACGCGTCACTTGATGCACAACCCTCCTCCAAACGCCCCTGTCCTCTGCGGTCTTTATGGCTTGTGGAACTGTCAGGCCGGTTAGGTTTTTTACAGCATCCAACCACAGGGTAGGTGAGCGACCGCGAGGTCTTTTCCCGTTAACCCGATCAACAACCACAAGCTTCTCCAGATTACCCCCAATTTTTTTATGGTATAAGCCGGTTAACGAGCAGACAGATCACCTGATGGTAAGCAATCGGCGTCGCCCATGGACACCTGGAACGCCAGAGGCGTTACAAGTGCGTTACCGGCCTTTTGGAATTAGGAATTTGAGGATTGTTGGAGATGGGATTGGGGAAAGGGAGGGGGAGGGTAATTGGGCATCCGGCAACCTCAGTCATACGACGAAACCGTTCGCACGATTACCGGCTTATGCCATAAAATAAAACAAATTGGTTGAAAAATTAAAACACGTAACGTAATGCAAGAGGTGCCGTCTGCCAACTGGTTCGCGTGTCCGCCGCGGTCGCAGTGGCGCCCTGCCTGCACACACCCCGCGCCGCGCAGGTACCCCGCGTTCCCCCGCTCGCTGCTTGTCCCTCTCGCACCCGCCGTACCGTCGTATGCGTGTGAGTGCTGCGTCAACAATAATAATTCATCCAATCTTCTCTTTCAGATCTCTTTTCATTCAATGTGAAAGAACTGCTTGAATCTCAAAAACTGAAAAAGTCACAGGACGAGGCGAGAACAAAGTTCTATAGGGAAGTTCGTGAGAGAGTGCGTGAATTGGAGGCTATCATCAAGGCTAATGTGTAAGTTGAATGTTATTTCAGTTTTCTGGTGATAATTAATCAAATATAAATGCTTATAGTATTTTTTATGGGATAAATACAATCATACATACATAACTTCACGCCTGTCTCTCATGACCCTCATGATGAGGCAGAGACTAGGGAACGCCAATTACTACGATCCCTACATACATTTTATGGGATATTTATTTATTATTTTCTGGGCGCGCCTCAAATAGCCATCAGACCACCACGGATGGGGCCCAATAGAGCTGATGCCGATACGGAACTGCGGGGGATTTATTGGGTTGCCGGGGTTCTGGTTCGAAGTGCAGGAGTAGGAACGGGGTTTGGCACTCCGTTTCGCCTCACTCAAGGCGGGAGAAGGCATTAGATGATTTTTGAATGGCATGAGCCGTTTAAAGAAGGGCCAAATTAAAAGTACCCTTAACCGACGAACATGCATGAAAAGATTGATGACTATTGATGAAGCGAAAGAGGTATGTAGGAATCGTAGTAATTGGCGTTCCATAGCCGCTGCCTATGGAAGACACGTGGAATGGGAGACAGGCGTGAAGTTATGTATGTATGTATTGGCGGTTTACTATCAGATGATCCGTCTGTATGTTTCCCAACTGGGATAACTACCCCATTAAATTTACAAGGTGTAGGTTTGAAACCGTGTCATTTGTCGGGGGCATGTCACAGAAGTCATAAAGGTTCAATGTAAAAAAAAAATTTCGGGCCAGTAGTTAAAAATACGGCTATAATAAATCGTTTAAGTTCGACAATATTTCAGAATAAGCGACAGCAATGTTTCTTATTGGAGTTTTATGGAATTAGGAATAATATTAATTACGTGTTTGAGTTTGTGTGTTAAGCCGCGTTATAAACCTAGTTACAAGACGGCGGCGTGTACATCGCACTTATTTACATCACAATATTTACCTACAACTTTTTTTATTGCTTCGGACTCAGAATCGATATCCGAGTTACCTCTTAGAAAATAACGCTGCTTTAAAACAACACCTTGTACATTTGCGGAGTTAAAGGCGAAATGTTACATTTTTTTTATGGCGTCTGCTCGCAGACGGATCACCTGACGGTAAGCAATCGGCGTCGCACATGGACACCTGGCACACCGGAGGCGTTACAAGTGCGTTACCGGCCTTTTGGGGATTAGGAGTTTGAGGATCGTTGGGGATTCAGGAATTGGGGAGATTGGGGAAGGGGGGGGTAATTGGGCCTCCGGTAACCTCACTCACACGACGAAACACAACGCAAGCGCTGCTTTACGTCGGTTTCCTGTGAGGCCGTGGTATCACTCCGGTCGAGCCGGTCCATTCGTGACACCAAAATATTTTTAACATTTTCAGATACCTGCAAAATCTAAAAGAAAAAGAGGAATTGGATATTTTGAACATGTCTGAGGCACCTTACGTGTCCCCACCGAGAGTGTGCATAGCCACCGAATGTGGTAAATAATTTGCATATAACCTAACCTGACTTGGGTACTTACTCTTGAAACCGATCTCAATGTCAATGCAATTTCAATACCTTAAAATCTCAATAATTGTTCAATGTCAACACTATACAACCCCAATCGTAGTATCAATCGTAGTAAAATTACATCCAGAGTACGGAATATAAAGCCAAACTCAATACCATTCAATATCCACGCAATACGGATGCAATGGGTGCTAGTGTTGCAACTCAAGAGTACGACATTTCGCAATACCAATGTCGATCGATCGGAATTGGATTCAAGAGTAAGCCACCAGGGTGCTTACTCTTGAAACCAATCTCAATGTCAATGCAATTTAAATCCAATACATACTCAATAATCATACAATGTCAAAACTATACAACCACAATCGTAGCTGTTACAATAGCATTCAGAGTACGGAATATAAAGCTAAACTCAATACCGTTTAGAGTGTGTTTTAAGAGTAAGCACCCTGCTCTGCTCCTCTGATTTGAAGTTAAGAAAATCTGTTTTTTTCCACAGAAATCGATTTTAAAAAGTATTTGCGGTCGTGCAAACCCAGGATACGAATTGGCGAACTAAATCTGAGGCGATATAGGTAAGCAAAAATAATATGCTATAACCTCTGATATGTCGGAGTGTAGATCTACGTGAGACACAATGCGTTTTCTGTTGTGTTTGTGTCTCGTATATCATCAGACAAGAGGATAAATAATATTATTATTATAATAGGATAAATAACTCATTATTATTTTAGTGTCCGTCTGGTAGATTATCTATTTTAAAACATTACACACGTATTTTTTATTTTGTAACAGAAACAAATAATTTCGACGATACATTGATTTGAAATATCGCATGACGTCACTTCTATGTACATTTTATACGTAGAAATGACGTTTTAGCTCCCGTTTTTTATAACCTTATACATCATCATCATCAACAGCCTATAATGCCCACTGCTGAGCAAAGCCTCTTCTCTCACGGAGACGGTTTGAGTATTAATCACCACGCTTGCTAATGCGGGTTAGCGATTACAAACTTATATTTAGAAATTATAAGTCCAGGTTTCCTCACGATGTTTTCTTTCATCGTTTGTCAGTGGTGTCTAAATAATCTTAGAAAGTACATATAACTCGGAAAAAGTTGCATTGGTACTTACCATTAGTAGGTTTCGAACTGGCACCCTCATGCATTAGAAGCGGGCGTCTTAAACCTCCAGCCACCACGACAAAATAAAAAAATGTGTCTAATATTTTTCATTATATAACTGACGGACTAAATAGAGCAAAGTTTAAAAAAAAATTAAACAATAATTTGGTATTTTTGAAACTTCAATTAATACAAAATAAATAATAGTCTGTCAGTCACTCCGTCAGTGGAGCTAGGTGAAGCTAGGTGCTCATTCTAAAATGAAGATTCGAATGGAGAAGAACGAGCAAGAAACTCCATAAATCTTATCTATTGGTTCTAATCGAATAATCCTATTGTGTAGGATAGTCCATTTTATTGAGGATGGCTAGACTATAAAAATTTAGGCTCTGGTCAATTTGAGCTGAGCAGCGGATTTAACCATGGTAGAGTAGCTGGTATTCAATAAATGTTGATATTTATTACGATACTAGCTTTTACCCGCGGCTTCGCTCGCGTCACAAAAGAATAAAAAGTAGCCTATGTAACATACACCAATACACACAGCGCCGTCTATACCAATACTTTTGTTTTTCCCCGGGAATATCAATTTTTCCGGGTTAAAAAGTACCGTATTATTTAATCCGGACTTCTAACTTTACGTCTGCAAAAATTCGAAGCAATCGGTTGAGTAGTTACGGCGTGAAGGTGGAACAAACAAACAAACAAACTCACTTCCAGATTTATAATATTAGTAAGGATTATGTATTGACATCGATAATGACATGATGTAGTTGATATTATTATGACGCGATATAACGCCTACCCAGTCTGTAAGTTTGCTTGCTATGTATCTTTAGCAAAACATGTACGCTCTGATTTCATTGTAACACCTATAATACCATATTTTTGAATTTATTGATATTTTTTTTTCTTAAAGAATGCGGTGCTCGCCTGTAATCGATTTACTGTTATCTTAATAAATATAAGGAACAAACATATTCCATCAAATACTCGGGCTACTAACAGATCTTGAAAGTCAGTCTCAGTAAGATTTCGACGGAACGGAAAATGAAGCCCGAACCTAAGTATTTGCTAGGCTAGGGTATTTCATACGGAGCCGCGGAGGACTTGACGGGTTAATTAAATGTTTGTTATTTAATGTAAGAATGTATACAATTGTTGGTGGGCCAATAAAGATAAATAAATAAATAAATAAATACTGCCTCGTTGGCCGAGTGGTCGCAAGTGCGACTGCCGGGCAAGGGGTCTCGGGTTCGATTCCCGGGTCGAGCAAAGTATTACTGGGTTTTTAAACATTCTCAGTAGTAGCACGGAGTCTGGAATTGTGCCCGGTATATGGCAATAGGCTCACCCCCTATTACATGGGACTCATAACATAAATAGTGAAAAATGGGTGTTACATTGTAATGTGCACCTCTGCCTACCCCTTCGGGGATAAAAGGCGTGATGTTATGTTATGTAAATAAATAAATTTAAATGCTTTGTAGTTTCAGTTTTTCATGATGAAACCTTTATTTTTATATTACAGGATCTGTGGTGGAGTTCTCAATCTGGATTTGATAGTGACTCCTCCACAGCCGAAACGGATGCGGCATTCAGTTATTGTGACTACATGTAAGTAATTCTAAAGTACTGTTACAGACAGGGCCGTCTAAGACTATGCCGTGGAAGACTTAACGGGTTGCTGGGGCTCCGGCTCGAAGGGCAGGAGTAGGAACAGGGTGGTTTTTAGTCAGTAAGAGTCTGACACTCCCTCTCGCCTCACCCGGGCGGGAGAAGTCATTCGATGATTTCGGACCCTTAAAAAAACTTAATACTCTTAATATTGGTTTGTCAATATACATAATTATATTTTTTTTCTAATTAATTTTAAATTAAATAGGTACTATTAGTAAAAAAAAGAAAATCTTGGTTTGTTTCGTTTTTATTAAACAATATTTTTGGTTGAATGAATAACAATTACTTTTTTACCTAATATTGGTACTATACTTACGTCTTATTATAAATAATAATATAAACTTAAATCTTCTGATAGAATAATCACATTGTCACAATATTTATAACTAATAGAAAATGACTGCCTCGTTGGCCGAGTGGTCGCAAGTGCGAGTACCGGGCAAGGGGTCTCGGGTTCGATTCCCGGGTCGGGCAAAGTATTACTGGGTTTGAAATAAAAATTCTCAGTAAGTAGCACGAAGTCTGGAATTGTTCCCGGTATATAGTAATAGGCTCACCCCCTATTACATGGGACTCATAACATAAATAGTGAAATGTGGGTGTTACATTGTACAGTGGCATAATGTGCACCTCTGCCTACCTCTTCGGGGATAAAAGGCGTGATATTATAATATTATGCTATGTTGAAAATGAAATGACAAGGTTGGCAAAGACGGCAATGACCGAACTAGTTAATGGGCTAGCATAATATCGCAGGATTGATTCTCATACGTTACTAAATAATTATTGTTACGAATTAAAAAAACATTTGTGTATTAAAACAAGTTTAAAATTCTCTTCGAAAGAATGTGTACCCAGCAGACATCGAAATTTTAAATCTTATCACCCGTAGCGCACTAGAGGGCGCTGCGGACGTTAATGGACGAACACTCGTTTTCAAAATCTAAATCCCACTTTAAGCTAAAGATACATTATCTGTTGGTTTGGACTTTTGGGCTATCAAGGTCTTCTTTAGCCTTTTCCAGAACATTGGTCTTTCGGACTCGTCTTTTGGCCAAACGATGTAGGTCTTCGTTAGCATAAGGTAGTGAAGTGTGTTCGGTCTTAAACGGCGTGGTATGTCTTCCAGAAGAATCAGCGTTAGGTCTTCTCGGCGCGTTTCTAGGAGTCTGGAAAGAATTGATTATTGTTTTTAGTATTCAACGAGTATATTTTAGTAAGGTTTTCTTTATTAAAAATGATAGTGAACAATATAAACATGTTCTAGCAAATTTTTAAGAAATAAGTATGCTGTTTTACGCTAAAGAAACGTGACGTCACAATACACAATAGGGTAGATGCCTAATTTTTATTTTAATGTCCGTCTGGTAGATTATTTTAAATCATTACACATGTTTTTTTTAATTTCTTAAACGAATACTTTCGACGATATATTGATTTGAAATGTCGCGTGACGTCACTTCTATGTACATTTTATACGTAGAAATGACGATTTAGCCCCCACAACTTTGATTCGTTTTAAGTATTCTTTTATTATAAGACAAAATAAAAAAAATACGTGTCTAATATTTTTTAATTACCTAACTTACGGACTAATTAGATTTTTAATTTTCATACCCTGTCAACATCCCAATTCCGTACAAAATTCATAGAAAACTGTAGTTTTTGACAGTTCGAAAAAAGTATTGAATTTGACTAGTTGGCAAGTACTCAATTAACGGGCTCTTCTAAAACATCAAGATATTTTAAGATGCTCACCTGTGTTGCGCGAGATGCATCTCAAATTGACACCACTGGCTTAGCAGGAACCTCTGTGAGAGGATCAGCATGATGGACCTGGAGCGGTCCATACAGGAGACTATGTTCTCCAGGATTGAGAGGCCCACCTGGAAAATAGGAGGAGAAATGTAGATTAGTGAGTTGGTCTTGTGATTGTAAGACTGTCTGATTGACTGACTAGTTCAGGGTTATACTGAAAACATAACAAATTTTTAGAAATTCTCAGTAATGTACTAGTAGTCTTCATTCTGATAATAATATGTATGGTGGTTGATAATTATCCCTACACTAGCTGCTTCCGCGCTCTGCTCAGCTCCTATCGGTCTTAGGTTGATATTTTATAGCCTATAGCCATCCAAATTGGGCTCGCTGCCATTGCAGCGGTAAGTCCCCTCTTTGAGGAGTGGCTTGAGAGACGCTACGGCGTCCTCACCTACCGCCTGACGCAGGTCCTCACCGGACATGGAAGTTTCGGGAGGTACCTGTGTCTGATGGGGCGGGAGGAAACGCCCGGGTGTCATCACTGCGAGGACCACCCTGAGGACACGGTGGAACACACTGTTGCGGAATGCCCTGCGTGGGCTGAGCACCGCCGTGCCCTCAGGGAAGTGATCGGCGATGGAGACCTCTCGCGTCCGGGCCTAGTTCAGGCCATGATGCGGAGCGAGGGGGACTGGGATGCCGTCTCCTCCTTTTGCGAAGCAGTCATGCTGGCTAAGGAGGAGGCGGGACGCGTGAGGCAGCGAAGCGCTGCCTCCTCGCAACCCAGCCATCGCGAAGGACACACCGGGCGTCGGGGATCGCGGGACGATCTCCGGCCACCGTAAGCGCGGGCCTGCGGACGGCGAGCATGGGTGGCTCCCCGTCCGACCAGAAACAGACCCGAGCGTACGGCGCGTCGCGTTCCGCGCGCGCCTCAAAGAGCCATCAGACCACCACAGATGGCGCCCAATAGGGCCGATGCCGATTCGGAGTCGCGGAGAACCTAACGGGTAACCGGGGCTCCGGCTCGACGTGCAGGAGAAGGAACGGGGTGGTTTTTAGTCAGTAAGAGTCTGACACTCCCTTCCGCCTCACCCAGGCGGGAGCAGTCATTCGATGATTTTCCCCCCTTAAAAAAAAAAAAAAAAAATAGCCATCCAAATGCGCTATACAACACAAAAAGAATTATTCAAAACAGACTTGTAGTTACGGAGATTAGCGCGTTCAAACAAAAAAACAAAAAAACAAACTCTTCCGCTTTATACCTCTATAATAGTATAAGAGTGTAAGATAAGATTAGAATGAAACTAAAAACTATAACATAATTATTGGGTTTTTCATTTCTGCTCGGTGGTCACCGACTGCCTCGTTGGCCAAGCGATCGCACGTGCGACAGCCGGGCAAAGGGATTTCGCATTCGATTCCCGGGTCGGACGAAGTACTAGTGAGTTGTTAAAAAAATCTCATTAGTAACACGGAACCTGGAATTGTGCCCGGTGTATGGCAATAGGCTCACCCCCTATTACATGGGACTCATAACATAAATAGTGAAACTCGTAACATAAGTGTTACATTGTACAGTGGCATTAAGTGCCGTAATGTGCACCTCTGCTTACCCCTTCGGGGATAACAGGTGTTATGTTCTGTCATGTTACTTTCTATGTTTTTTCTATAAGAAGGCTAAGTCTGAATTGTATTCTATGTTTCCCAATAGTCGTAATATAATCGACACAAAAGAAAATGAACACATTTTGATTTGTACAACATTTTAACATACAAAAGTCAAAGTCAAAGCATTTATTTCAATTCAACCATATTTTAATTTTGGTAATTTTGAAACGTCAGCAAATACAAAATAAATAATAGTCTGTCAGTCAGTCCGTCAGTGAAACTAGGTGAAGTGAACTTAGATGCTCATTCCAAAATGTAAATTCGAATGGAGAAGAACGAGCAAGAAACTACATTCGTTACTCTTTCAAAATGTTGTCTTCCAGTCTTCTTACAAAAAGACCAAGTAGACCAAACTTACAAGAAAGTCTCTCTCATGAAGACAGGCGCTGATGCTGCACTCAGTCTCCATGTGTGGCAGCAGGTGGTCCAGCACCCACCCTCGATCCTCGTTACAGTAAGACACGAAGACATCGTAGTTGAAGATGGTGTTGTCTAGGAAATAAATATGAAATTATATCTTAACTAACTTTTACCCACGGCTTCGCTCGCGTCACAAAAGAATAAAAAGTAGCCTATGTGACATATACCAATACACACAGCGCCATCTATACCAATACTTTTGTTTTCCTCGGAATATCAATTTTTCCGGGTTGAAAAGTACCCTATTATTTAATCCGGACTTCTAACTTTATGTCTGCAAAAATTCAAAGCAATCGGTTGAGTAGTTACGGTGTGAAGGTGGAACAAACAAACAAACAAACAAACTCACTTTCAGATTTATAATATTAGTAAGGATAAGGATGAATGATAGTAACGTCGACTAGGTTTTGACGTCGACTAGCTTTTGATTTTGATAATCAAAAAATCTAATTTCTATCGAGACTAGAATCAGAGACTTGCTCGGCAATTTGAACGATGACTCGGAAGATAAAATCTTACTAAGCTAGCTTCTACAAGCGGATTCATCTACTATATGGCGGATTATCTACACCTTGGAATGAGCAAATAGCTTCACTTTTAATTTTTTTGTTGATGTTCAAAAGTGCCTTCTTAGTCTAATTGAAATGAATGATTTTTACTTTGGCTTTGACTTATACTTAACTTTGACTTTGACTTTGGCTTTGACTTTTACTTAACTTTGACTTTGAATTTGACTTTATGTAAATAAAAGTAGCCTGTGTGTTATTCCAGACGATTATAAATCTGTGCTAGATTGTATTCAGATCCATTCAGTAGTTTTTTGCATAAAAGAGAAACAAATACATCCTGACAAACTTCTACATTTGTTAAGATAGAAAATAATAAAAATTTAAAATAATATTTTTATAAGTTACATTTAAATAAACTGACTTCAGCCCCCTCTTTTTTGAAGTCGGTTAATTAATATACTAAAACCTTCTTTAGTGTAACAAACATAACATAACGCCTTTTATCCTCGAAGGGGTAGGCAGAGTTGCACATGATACCACTGTACTATGTAACACCCACTTTTCACTATTTATTTTATGAGTCTCATGTAATAGGGGGTAAGCTTAGTTCCATATACCGGGCACAATTCCAGACTCCGTGTTACTACTAAGATTTTTTTTAAAACCCTGTTATACTTTGCCCGACCCGGGAATCGATCCCGAGACCCCTTGCCCGGCAGTCGCACTTTCGACCACTCGGCCAATGAGGCAGACATTCATCATCATCATCATCATCATCATCAACAGCATATAAATACCCACTGCTGAGCAAAGCCTCTTCTCACACGGAGAAGGTTTGAGAATTAATCACCACGCTTGGCGATTTCAAACTTATAATTAGAAATGATAAGCCTAGGTTTGTATAATATTAAGCCTCACAATGTTTTCCTTCGCCGTTTGTCAGTGGTGTCTAGATAATCTTAGAAAGTACCTACATATAACTCGGAAAAAGTCACATTGGTACTTGCCGGCCACTATGACATTTTAACATTGTTAAAATTAGCATTTTAACATTTACATACATACAGGTTAAAATAAGAACCTGCTTCGTTTTTTGAATAAGGTTAAAAGCACTCACCATCGACTATATCCTTCTTATTAATCAAGCTGAGCATCGCAGAGTTTCTCATAGTAATGTAAAAATATCTGATATGACGTCTGCACACATATATGATGCTACCTATGATCATCACGCACGGCAGAGACAGTAAAGCCAAGAGCTTCAACCTTTCATTCTTCAACTCCTCGTCATAGGTTTCCTCCCTTGAAGCTCGTCCACAGCTAAACACATCAGCGATCTGAACTGGCTTGCTCTCACCCACGGGCAAACAGATGTATGTCTCATTAGAATAATCAACAAATCTCAAAGATCCAGACACTCCGATATCTTTATAACATTGATCATCGCAATCATATAGTTCCACTTTATTTCTGTGTTTTATAATATCATTGTAATGGTCATAGGCATTGTGGTGCAATCCAGTCTCTGTTATATGCACATAGACTTCTTTATACAGCATTTCGTTTTTTGCAGCCATTTTGTACAAGTCTTTCGAATGGCAGTTGCAGATCAAAGAGTTTTCTGATAGAGCCAAGTAATCCACGTACATGAGGTCTTGTATCATTTCTTCCGTTATCAAGTTAATGTTATTGTCTTTTAGTGATAAATAACTTAGTTCTGGCATTAATGAATATGTTTGTTTGAACCAGGAATTGATCCTGTTCTTGTTTAGGTCTAACACTTTTAAGTGTCTCAAGTTTTTCACAGCTATGTCGTCGACATTGTTTATTTCATTGTTTGCTAGTTGGAGTATTACTAGTTTGGTGAAATTTTGGAATATGTTCATCGTATTTAGACCAACTTCTTGAGCGTATAGGATTATTAAGGAGTCTTCAATGCCTTTCAAAGGTTTGTTTCCTTGTAAAATCCCATTGTTTCTTGATACGTCCAGAATTTGCAGCGAAGTTGTTACGAAAATGTCATCGTGAAGATTGGTTAGTCCTGTCTCGCATAGGGACAGACTTCTGAGATTTTTTCCAAGGCTTTTTAACATGCCAAGGTTTCTCTGTGTCAGTTTCGTATATGATAAATCTAAAGAAATTAGATTTAGGTGCTGAAAAGCGTAGTAACTTTCAGTAGCCAGGTTTTTCGGGTTCCCATTCTCATCGAAGGCTTGATTTCGGCTAAAATCTAGATGTACTAATTTGGTAAGCCCTGTAAATGCGGTTGAGTCGATAAAGAAGATTTCATTCTCTCCGATGTAGAGGGATCTTAATTCGCTCATGCCTTTAAATAGGTTCTGCCCTAATACTTGAATTGAGCATGCTCTTAAGTCCAGCTCTCTGAGTTTTGTGAAGGTGACCGCTGAAAAGCCGGATGACCAGATGTTTTCAGCTGAAAATGAAAAATTAAATGTTAAGAACGACCGCAGATTTTTTGTCGCTATACCAATTAACTTTTACATTTATTTTACTAGACATGTTTTACTACTGTAACCAAAAGTCGTGAATCTGAAAAATGAAAAAATTGACTTTCTTACTCGTTCTTATCCGTTCGAAACTACAATGACAGACAGACTGACTGACAGTTCAATTTTGACGTTTCAAAAGTTTTAATTAACGATTAATTGAAATAAACGCTTTGACTTTCACTTTGACTTTGACTTTAACAAATATTTATTCTATATTTGTTATTCTACACTTTGATCCACTAAAGAATCAATGAAAGACAATTGGGATGATGACAGGGTAAGAATTTTACCTTGAGTCTGCGGCGAGGATCCCATATTCATAATGGTAGCGCCTGTGGCATTGAAGCTCAGGGTATAATGCTCTCCAGCAGCACTCATCCCTAAGAATTTATTCCCGTAGAATGTTAAATATTCCACCATCGTGGACAACGGTCTACGATGCAAGTCCTCCAATTGGAATATCTGTAAAAAGGATGGTAAAAACATTACTTTTGATTTTTAAAATAACATAACATAACATCACGCCTTTTATCCCCGAATGGGTAGGCAGAGGTGCACATTACGGCACTTAAATGCCACTGTACAATGTAACACCCACTTTTCACTATTTATGTTACGAGTCCCATGTAATAGGGGATGAACCTGTTGCCATATACTGGGCTCAATTCCAGACTCCGTGCTTCCTCTGATTTTTTTTTTAAAAACTCAGTAATACTCTAACAATAACTCAAATTAATTTTAATCTGCCTCGTTAGCCGAGTGGTCGCAAGTTTCGATTCTCGGGTCGGGCAAAGTATTACTGGGATTCTTAAAAAATCTTAGTAGTATCACGGTGTCTGGAATTGTGCCCGGTATATGGTAACCGCAATAGGCTCACCTCTATAACATGGGACTCATAACATAAAATAGTGAAAAGTGGGTATTACATGGTACGGTGGCATTAAGTACCGTAATGTGCACCACTGCCTACCGTTTCGGGGATAAAAGGCGAAATGTTATGTTACGTTACTTTGTACATTAAATTTTATGCATATTTTTTTTCAAAATCGCCTGATTGCTACTTATCTTATTGACAAATACTGATCTATATATTGGTATCATCATCAAGCTCTTATCAAGTACGTTTCGAATCAAACCGTTATGTTATCAATTGTTATCTCTGAATGTTATCACACTATCTATAACATTACATGTAGAGATGGTGAGGAGATCTCATCTTTTTTGTCTTTTTATTTAAATTTGTATGTAAGTTTGCCCTTTAGACTATTTTCTGTTGACTATTGACTGTATGATCATCTTGCGGTTCCTCTGCTAAGCCCCGTAAAGTAAGTCAGAGGTGTCATGCAATATAACACTTCACCACGTATGTTATGAGTCCCATATAATAGAGAGTGACCCAATTGTCACACTGGATACAATATCTGACGCGCTAATACTTTAGACGTGCCAATACGTCAGAAGTGCCAATACTTCAACCGCCCCGTGAATCGAACCCGAGACCCCTTTCTCAGTAGTTCCTCTAGCCACCACTCTATTACATGATAATCCTTAATCCTTCTCTATTACAATAAGCCTTATATTGAGGGGGGAAATATCAGACGACTCTGGACTGCAAGAGGTAGTGTCAGACTCTTAACACCGCGAACTAACTAACTGAACACCACCCCGTTTCTACCCCTGCATAGAGCTAGAGTCATGGTAGCGTGGGAGAACCATGCTTCGGCACTTCTGGTCGGCTCGACCGGAGTCATACCACGACCAAGCTGAAAACCGACGTTAAGCAACGCTTGCATCGTGTTCCATCGTGTGAGTGAGCAGGGTACCGGAGGCCCAATTACCCCCCTCCCCCCTTCCCCAATTCCTGAATTCACAACTATCCTAAAACTCCTAATCCCCAAAAGGCCGGTAACGCACTTATAACGCCTCTGGTGTTCCAGGTGTCCATGGACGAGGCCGATTGCTTACCCATAAAAAAAATACCAGATAGGTACCCAAAAAACAGCTCACAGGTTTCTCTTTATCTCATTTTACTCAAATTCTTTTGCTCAATAAAATTCTATTATAAACCAATCAAGATATGGATATTATAAACCAATGTGGAGGCTCGGCTGCAAAGCCTCGAATACAGGCATAAGGTTGCAAGCCTTTCAGTCTACCGGATACATTTCGGAGAGAGTGCCGGGGAATTGCACAACTTGATTTCCCCTAGTCCTTTCCATCATCGTACCACAAGACTATTGACGAAGCATCACCGATTCATGGTAGATGTACCACCCACACGCACGAAGCGCTTCGCATCAAGCTTCCTTGTGTGTACTGCTAAGGAGTGGAATTCTTTGCCAGAGTCTGTATTGCCTGAAGGGTGTCTTCAAGGCCCGAGTGAATAGGTTGCTTATGGCTCTACGTGCTCCATCGTAGACCACATCATCGCTTACCACCAGGCGAGATTGTGGTCAAACGTCAGTCCCATCTAATATAAAAAATATGATTTAACTTACCGGTGGCACTCTGGTGAGGTCACACCTGGCCAGACTGAGGTACTTCACGTAGCGATGGGATGACTTCAACATGTTCATGTGTTGGTGCAACATCTTCACCGGGTTCGCATTCATTGACAGGTCTATTGAATTCTGTCTCTCCGCTGCAATATAATACATATTTTTTTATCTTCCTAAAGCATAGCATAACGTTAATAAATTGACATTAATTAAATTGACGATATAATAAAAAGAATGATTGATAATGCGGTGTTATAATGTAATAAATTAAATTAATTAAGAATATATATATTGAATAATAATAAACTGTAAATGTATGGACCCATTATGTCTGAAATAAATTTATTTTATTTTATTTATAACGTAACTAGACGTCCAGTATTAAACAGGACTGTGTCTTTTGAGGTAATTAAGATTCCCATTGTCCCTGAAATGAGCTCCGGGACGCAAAATTGTTCAGCTTTCGGAAACCGCACGAAAATTTGAATAGCAGAGGGCCAAGTACGAATAACTATCGCATTCGTATCGTAACAGTATCGAGCGAGTTAAACGTTCTGATTGGTTGGTTCACTTGAGCCGGCCAATCAGAGCGCCGAACGCGCTCGATACTATTACGTTACGAATGCGATAGTTATTCGTGCTTGGTACTCTGAGTAGACATGACGGTCTTTCGAACGGTTCGAGTGATGTGCGAGAGCGACAGCGTAAGACTTGATTTAGTATTTTTATTTATTCGTTGTGTTGTGCGGTTAAATGGCCAAAATTCCCAATCTCCGCAATCCCTGAATCCCCAACAATGCTTAAATTCCTAATTCCCAAAATGCCGGTAACGCACTTGTAATGCCTCTGGTGTTCCATGTGTCCATGGGCGACGCCGATTGCTTACCATCAGGTGATCGGTCGACTAGTTTACCGTGTTATCCTATAAAAAAATACCTAAACGAATGTCCCATTTTGAGTATAAAAAAAAATGATCGACGTGACTACTACATACTTTTTTAAAAAGAGTAACGAATGGAGTTTCTTGCTGGTTCTTCACCATTCGAATCTAGTTTTTGGAATGAGCACCTAGCTTCACCTAGTTTCACTGACGGACTGACTATTATTTATTTTGTATTTGTTGACGTTTCAAAAGTACCAAACTATAGTTTAATTGAAATAAATGCTTTGACTTTGACTTTGACTTTGTGATCATGTATAATCCTCGAAAAAACATTAACTGTGTGAAAAACGAATTGAGTTCACGATGTATTTTAAATTACAGTACGGTTCACGAGTTATGGCTGGTGTAAAGTTAGCCGCAAGTCACTTTCACTTTCACATATGTACACTCGCAAATAAATTGATTAAATAATAAAACGATTATGTTTAATTAGAGTCAATCCCTAGCATATCTAAGTCTTCTCAGGGATGTGATCGGCGGCGGCGACCTCTCGCGCCCGGCCCTAGTCCGCGCCATGATGCGGAGCGAAGAGGCTTGGGATGCCGTCTCCTCCTTTTGCAAAGCAGTCATGCTAGCTAAGGAGGAGGCGGGGCGCGTGAGGCCGCGAAGCGCTGCCTCCTCGCAACCCAGCCATCGCGATCGCCTCAAAGAGTTTGAATTCGTTCAAAAGAATCTATGATTATCCCCCCTTAAAAAAAAGCATATCCCTGTCCCGTTTTCACACCCGCCATAACTCGTGAACCATACTGTGGTTTAATCCCTTTTAAATTTCAAATCAACTTACCTTGTGTTGTGATTAAGGTGCCATACTGGTCCACCCATTGTTGGACATCTGTCATATACCCCGTCAGACATCTTGCTTTGGAATTGCTCGCTGATGAAAATAATATACTGCAGCAGAACCTGGAATGAAAATCTTTATATTAGGAAGTAGGTAAGCAGAGGTATTGATGAACATGAGTGCACAGTTAGCGCGATGGGATGGACCGAAACACATAAAAGAAGCAGAAAATTATAACGTGTTTATAAATAAATTAAAACGGTTCCTCATTGAAAAATGTTACTACACACTTAATGAGTTTTTTGATGACCAAACCAGCAAAACTTAACACTCAATGCATACCGACCGACTCAATAAAAAATCATATTAAACTGTCAAACACCAAGCGGTCACCGGTGACCGCGACCTATTGTTCTTTAATTGTGTCTATAAAACCGGTACTCGACGAGTTAAATGTAATATAATAATACATATACTGCATACAATAATACCTATACATTATTAAGAAATTTATGTAAATACACATTATAATAAAATAAAGAAAATATGTTAATGTTTAGTATGAAAATAACATTTCTTATGTTATAAATTATAATATAATAAGTATTGATAGTAGTTTAATTAGATTATATTTTGCTTTATATGTTGCCGTGCCCTAGCCGGGTTTTATGTTTTTCAAAGTCAAAGTCAAAGCATTTATTTCAATTAAACCATAGTTTGGTGCTTTTGAAACGTCAACAAATACAAAATAAATAATAGTCTGTCAGTCAGTCCGTAAGTGAAACTAGGTGAAGCTAGGTGCTCATTCCAAAAAGTAGATTCGAATGGAGAAGAACGAGCAAGAAACTCCATTCGTTACTCTTTTTAAAAAAAGTATGTTCTACAATGTCTCTGATACATATTTCAATACTGTACGCATATGTAAGAACAATGCAAAGACACGCTTGACGCATTATACTAATAACTTACAAAAATTAAAAAAAAAAAAAAATTAATAAAAATTAACTTAAAGTCCAACATGGTGCTCACATATGCATACTGACAATCCATAGAATTAGTGCTTCTATACAAGAAAAGGAAACTCTTTGTTGATACAGTACCTCATGTAACACCAATTGTACACATGATATGCAATAAAAGAATTTGAATTTGTAGACCGGCTACCGCGAAATATGTCGTGGGTTACTTTAAGCACTGAATATTTTTGTGTGATCTATAAATTCTGATTTCTGCATCGTGCCTGGTGCTGAATAAATGTTCTTTTCTTTCTTTCTTTCTTTCTTTCTTTCTTTCTAATTGGACCCTGTTAAGCAAAAAAGATCCAGCCCACATTTTATTACTTTCGAGTAAATGAAGTTTAATGTTGGGCGAATAGTAAAAAAATCATTTGACACAGTACCTATTGAATAGGTAAAATATCATATGATTACTTTAAACTTTAATTACTCAAAAGTAATCAAATGTGGGCTGGATCAGTTCTGCTTAACAGGGTCCAATTTTTACCGACATATGACTATTGATTGATGCGGTGGCTGGGCAACCGGCTGCCGCGCAATGTCTCGTGGATTCAATTCCCGCACGGAATAACTCTTTGTATGAACCACAGATTGTTGTTCCGGGTCTGGGTGTCCTTGTGTATGTGAACTTGTATGTTTGTAAACGCACGACATAGGAGAAAATCCTACTGTGGGGCAATAGTTTGAAAAAATACACAAAAAATTGTTTAAATTCTGCTATGTACACAAAGCACCGCTAATTAGTTAGCGGCGCTACACATCGACACAACTATCATTTACACAATATACATGTGTGGGTAATTTCATATCAATAGATATGTATAGAAACATTCGTCTATCACACACATCTTGGTATTTAAATATCATTTTTATGTCGGTATACGTAATAATTTAGTAAATAAGTTTAAATAAAAACGAGGGTAAAGATAAAATTACTCATAACAAACTTTGAATAAACCGAAATAAAAAATAATGAACGATCGAGCTATACAGTACCCATATAAATATAGTGCTTTCTCATTGTAATTTTATGTTACTGAATGTTATACAATATTTCGATAATCTCATCTACAGCGCGCTTGGCGCAATGGTTATCGCCTCCAATTGTCAAGTAAAGTGCCGCCTGATCGAATCCAGCATATTCACATGTTGTTTTAGTACTAATTTATCAAATATTTGAAATTAGAAACAATTAAATCTTTTCTTTTTTTTCCTATCCTATTGTTCTAAATCTTATGTTAATTTTAATAGTAAATCTCCCGACCGGCTTTTGACCATGACTAGGGAAAAAATATTTTTAAACGACTTCAAAAAGAAAAAAATACGGACGTTCTCAGTTTGTCCTGAATATGTGTATGAGTGTATGTTGGTGCGCGGTTAACTGAAATGATTTTGATATAGTTTTCAGAAACGTGTTTGTAACACTTAGAAGAAGGGTTTTAGTATCAAAAAAGAGGAGATTGATGTTGCGCGTATTAGAGCGTAGCTTATAGTGCGTAGCTCGTACCGTAGCGCATAGTGAGTAGAGCGTAGTTTGTAGCGCGTGTTCATTGCGTATACGTCGTGTCGCGTAGCTCATAGTGCGTAGCTCCGACCGCGTAGTTCGTAGCGCGTAGGTCGTAGTCAATAGTATGTAGCGCGTAGTTCGTAGCACAGTGTTCGTTGCGTGTATGTCGTAGCGCGTAGTACGTAGTACGTAGCGAATTGTTCGTAACGCGTAGTTTCGTGATTCATCACACGTGGTGTATAAATCATGGCAATAGCGTAGCTTATTTGTCTTTGCACGTCGCAACGGAGCTATTTTTCATTAACTATTTCCAAATTAAAAAGGTACCTCACTACCCACAGTACTTCTTTTCATTAACACATTGGATGTCGTGTCGGACAATTATGTCCGACGCTAGCTATTCATTAACAGATATATGTGTAAATAAAAATGAAGTTCGACTGCCTCGTTGGCCGAGTGGTCGCAATTGCAACTGCCGGGCAAGGGGTCTCGGGTTCGATTCGGTCGGGCAAAGTATTACTGTTTTTTTAAAAGATTCTCAGTAGTAGCACGGAGTCTGGAACTGTGCCCGGTATATGGCTATAGGTTCACCCCCTATTACTCATAACATAAATAGTGAAAAGTGGGTGTTACATTGTACAGTGGTATAATGTGCACCTCTGCCTACCCCTTCGGGGATAAAAGGCGTGATGTTATGTCATGTTATAAAAATGAAGTTCCGTTCGTTAGTTTGTAAAATTCGAGGATGGCTGAACCGATTTTGTTAATTTTGGTCTTAAAATTAAAGTCTAGGGAAGGTTTAAAAGGCTAAAAAATTTTTTTTAGACAAAGTTAGCCTGCTCAGCCAGTTGTTTTATAAAATAATCCGCTACCTGTCCTTCAATCATAATAGGCGTGATTGTATCTTACGTAATGTTTAGAAATAATGAGTAATTATATTATTGTTGATAAATACTGATAATAAATCATAATGAGAAATCTATATTTATAAAACAAAAGTCATGTTAGGTACACTGTTTAAGTGCTTATAACTCAAGAATGGATGGACAGATTTTCATGATATTTCCTTTTTTGAAATATATATGTAAACGGGCTGGCTATTATTTACTTGACTGTCGCTTTAACTCATCGAGTACCGGTTTTATAGACACAATTAAAGAACAATAGGTCGCGGTCACCGGTGACCGCTTGGTGTTTGACAGATTAATTATGGTAGTCGCCGTTTTACTATAACATTATATTAAGCTTTACATTGATACAAATCTCTGAATTACTTTGGGGCTCCTGTCTCCCTCTTATGTTTTTTTTTATGGGAATAGCCGGTAAACGAGCAGAGGGATCACCTGATGGTAAGCAATCGGCGTCGCCCATAGACACCTGGAACACCAGAGGCGTTACAATTGCGTTACCGGCCTTCTGGATTAGGAATTTGAAGATTGTTGGGGATTCAGGGATTGAGGAAGGGGGGGGGGGTAAATGGGCCTCCGGTAATCTTACTCACACGACGAAACATAACACAAGCGTTGTTTCACGTCGGCTTTCTGCTCGGCCGTGGTATCACTACGGTCGAGCCGGCCCATTCGTGCCAAAGCATGGCTCTCCCATACTTAAATTGTATAATGTAATTTATAAATGTTTGACTAAAAAATGTTGGATAATTGTTGTGAGCAAATACATAAAATAAATTTCATTTCATTTCAACTGTATATCACATCAACAGCCTATAAGTGTCCAGTGCTGACCAAAGGCCTCTCACACGGAGAAAGTTTGAACATTAATCACCACGCTAGCTCAATGCGGGTTGGCGATTTCAAACTTATAATATGGAATTATAAGTCCAGGTTTCGTAATGAAAAGCGTGGTTATACGCCAGGTTTCCTCACGATGTTTTCATTCACCGTTTGTCAGTGGTGTCTAGATAATCTTAGAAAGTACATATAACTCGGAAAAGTCATAAAATATTATAACTAGTGAAAGGTGGGTATTTTTATATTTTTGCTAATGCTACATACGTAGACAGAGGTCTACTCCTTCGTAGATTAAAACTGTGGCGACGCATGCCACATGTCAACGGATGACGTCACAAGAATCCTACATCGCACATGCAAAGTTTACAAACGAATAAACACAGATAGAAAATCCCAACGAACAACTGTTGGGCAGAAAGCCCGCCAGGCACAATCACCTCGCCTGGTCGGAGGATCCTCTTTTTCCGATCTTAGGGAACTATACTCTCTGTTCCCTAAAGTGGTGACCCCGACGTGATTGGAAACAACCTTCACTTCACGGAGCAGATTAGCACCGTCATCCGTATCGCCATCCCTCTCATTCATCACTTCTCCGCTGAGCGGTAATCAAGTCGCAGCCAACCAGCATCCTCGGCCTCATCAGGGACCACCATCGCCTGCAACGAAGTTGTGCAGCCTGGTTCTTCCCTACGGCCTCACCAGCGTCTAGGCACAGCACTTCTGCACACGGTCTGAAGGACACCTCCTCCCGTCAACGCAGATGCCGGCCACTACGCACCTACCCTCGCAGCATCTCTTCCCCGACTCACCGTGAGACACTGCGAACTCATCTCTCCGACTCACTGGAGTTTCACCCTGCACCGCTGACCCGACTCACTGGGCACTCAGCGGCACGGTTCCGACCCACTGGAACTAGGGACGTTCTACACTGGCTCTGGCGCCACTCATCTCAAGCATCGACAGCCGTCTCAGCGGGATCGACCTCCGGTCTTAGGAGGGAGTGATGTGGCGACGCATGCCACATGTCAACGGATGACGTCACAAGAATCCTACATCGCACATGCAAAGTTTACAAACGAATAAACACAGATAGAAAATCCCAACGAACAACTGTTGGGCAGAAAGCCCGCCAGGCACAATCACCTCGCCTGGTCGGAGGATCCTCTTTTTCCGATCTTAGGGAACTATACTCTCTGTTCCCTAAAAACTAATATAACTTCACGCCTTTTATCCCCGAAGGGGTAGGCAGAGGTGCACATTACGGCACACCCATATATCCCCAAGCGTTCACCGGTGACGGCTCTCCACTAACTACATTATATACCTTATTTCCAATGTTTAGAGACTACTTTTGTATGAACAAATTTAGGGGATGATATTCAACTATTTTCAACGGGTTTATGCCACTATACAATGTAACACCCACTTTTCACGAAGCGCCTTAAAAATACACATAGCAATAATACGCAAATGTACATTTACTTTTAAATATATTAACATATCCTTCTTTTCAAACGTGCTCGACATTAAACTGTCAAACACCAAGCGGTCACCGGTGACCGCGACCTATTGTTCTTTAATTGTGTCTATAAAACCGGTACTCGACGAGTTAAAATGCCTGTGACTTGAAACTAGTAGAGCTTTTCTCATATAATTACTTGAATAACTCGTAATTTTTACTAAATAATAAAAACATAGTAACAAATTTAAATAATATCGATAAACTAGCTAAGCCGGCAAACTTCGTACCGCTTAATTCTTTTTTCTCACATTTTAAACCTTCCCTGCACTTCCACGAACATTTCAAGACCAAAATTAGCCAAATCGGTTCAGCCGTTTTCGAGTTTTAGCGATACTAACGAACGGAAATTGTTTTTTTTTATAATAACGTTGCCCCACACTAGGATTTTCTCCTGGGTCGTGTGTGCGTTTACAAACATACAAATTCACATACTCAATGACACCCAGACCTGAAACAACAATTTGTGGATCACACAAAGTGTTATTCCGAGCGGGAATCGAACCCGCGACACGATGCACGGCAGCCAGTTGCCCAGCCACCGCACCAACTGTGCAGTCATTTATAAATTTATGTAACTAAACTACGAAAATCAGTATCTTGTTTTAAGTGTCAAATACATATTAGAATATGACTAAGAATTGTGACTGCCTTCACCAACCACCGCTTAACTCGTCGAGTACCGTATTTATAGACACAATTAAAGAACAATAGGTCGCGGTCACCGGTGACCGCTTGGTGTTTGACAGTTTAATTAAACCATCTCTTAACTAAAAGCTACTTTTTTGAGGAGGGAAAATCATCCAATGACTTCTCCCGCCTGTGTGAGGCGAGAGGGAGTGTCAGACTCTTACTGACTAAAAACCACCCGTCGTATGTCGTGGTGGCCCGGAGGTTTAAAACGCCCACTTCTCATGCATGAGGGTGCGGGTTTGAAACCTACCAACGGCAAGTACCAATGTGACTTTTTCCGAGTTATATGTACTTTCTAAGATTATTTAGACACCACTGACAAACGGTGAAGGAAAAACATCGTGAGGAAACCTGGACTTATAATTTCTAATTATAAGTTTGTAATCGCCAACCCACATTGAGCAAGCGTGGTGATTAATGGTCAAACTTTCTCCGTGTGAGAAGAAGCTTTGCTCAGCAGTGGGCATTTTTATGCTGTTTATGATGAGTGTTAAAAAGTAATAGTTACTTATTATACGTTACACGTCTATTGATTAACACATTCGCTGTATTGGAAGAACTTAGATATAAAGAAAAAAGTTCAAAAATCTTACACAATTATCCTTAAAATCATTGTTGATTTACAAGTCACACCGCAATTTGTTCTCACTGCGTCACATTATCACAATTTCACACTCTCAAAAGCAAACATATCATTTTTCGACACCAAAACACATTTTTAATCTCACACCGTAACTATAACACCCAACTATAACTTTTATAAGTGTTTATTTTACACAAAAACACTATTTTATTACAATTCCTTTATAATATTATTGTAATAATAATTTATTCGTGGAGTTATTGTATTTTTGCACGGGTTTTCTATCTTTGAATAACGTTATCTGAATAAATGCTGATATATTTGTATCTAATCTCGATCGGTCAAAGACAAGGCTCGTAGCCATTTTGAATTTCCGCGTCAAACGTGAATAATTGTGACGTCACTTTTATTGAAGTGGTATGCGATTGCAAGGTAGTGTGTTCCATGCTTATGTTAAGCTAAAACTATGTCGTTGTCTGTGGTGGTTTCGTTTTTTATAGTACATTGTGATTAGATACTGAATAACAGTTAACAGATAATATTTGTATTTATATTTGATTTCTACATCAAGTATTTTTTTTAAGGAGGAAAAATCATCGAATGACTGCTCCCGCCTAGGTGAGGGAGGAGGGAGTGTCAGACTCTTACTGACTAAAAACCACCCCGTTCCTACTCCTGCCCTGCGAGCCGTAGCCCCGGCAACCCGTTAAGTCCTCCGCGGCTCCGTCCCTGTCTCGATCAGCCCTATTGGGCCCCATCCGTGGTGGTCTGATTCTGATGGCGTCGCGTTCCGCGCGCGCCCCGTACGCTCGGGTCTGGTTCTGGTCGGGCGGCGAGCCACCCATGCTCGCCGTCCGCAGGCCCGCGCTTACGGTGGTCGGAGATCGTCCCGCGATCCCCGACGCCCGGAGTGTCCTTCGCGACGGCTGGGTTGCGAGGAGGCAGCGCTTCTCTGCCTCACGCGCCCCGCCTCCTCCTTAGCTAGCATGACTGCTTCGCAAAAGGAGGAGACGGCACCCCAGTCCCCCTCCCATCATGACCCGCACTAGAGCCAGACGCGAGAGGTCGCCGTTACCAAATACATAACGTATAACCACGCTTTTCATTACGAAACCTGGACTTATAATTTTACATTATAAGTTTAAAACCGCCAACCCGCATTGAGCAAGCGTGGTGATGAATGCTCTAACCTTCTCCGTGTGAGAAGAGGCCTTTGCTCAGTAGTGGGCATTTATAGACTGATGATGATGATGATGATGATAACAATATTTCTTTGTTTCAGTACAACTACCAAAATGTTTGGCTGCTGTAAAATACCAAGTGCAATACAAGGCCCCGGGACCCCCACCACCGGGGGTCACACGGACCCCAGAGGAGATTGAACAGGAGATCAAAATGGTTGAAGCTCAATATGAAAAGTTAGCCATGGTCTTTATTGAGTGAGTATAAATTACCAGGTGACTACAGTAAAATATATTTTTCCCGCCCTTATTTTTGTTTTATGGGGGGAAAATCATCGAATGACTGCTCCCGCCTAGGTGAGGCGGGAGGGAGTGTCAGACTCTTACTGACTAAAAACCACCCCGTTTCTTCTCCTGCACGTTGAGCCGGAGCCCCGGTTACCCGTTAGGTTCTCCGCGACAACAGAGCTAGAATATGGTCTAGAATACCGCACATAGGCTACTTTTTACCGACTTCAAAAAAAGGAGGAGGTACTATGCTCGGCTGATTGTTTTTTTTTTGTTAATCCGCGCATTACTCCACTATTTGTAAACCGATTTCCAAAATTCTTGTTTTGTTTGAAAGGGTATACTCCCGAGATGGTCCCATTTCCATGACGTCAGGATCTGAAAGAAAGAAAGAAGAAAGAAAAAACATTTATTTGACACACACGATTATAAAAAATAAAAATACAGATATATAAACAGAATACTAATAATAAACTTAAAAGAAAAGACATAAGAACAAAAAAAAACATCACAGTGTAGTAACAAAATAAAAATACGAAAAAACAAAATTTTGAATATATAAAAACAGAAATCAAAGAACAAAATAATAATTTGCGCGTGCTCATGCCAAAAGGGCCTCCACCTCAGCATATAGTTGGACGTTTCAGCCCAACGCTAATTTTCATCTGATGATGAGATCCTAGGGAAACCGAGGGGAACTTTCGAAAATTCTATGGGCGAGTAATGCGTCTATTATGTTTTTCAATTAGGATTTTTAAACACTACAATTTGATAACTTATAACGACTTCTTACCTATCAGTGGGTGGGTAATCTATCAGTACTAATAATAGTTATTTTTTGCTGGCGAAGCCGTGTGAAGAGACTAGTAAATAAACCTTCTTCTCTCGCAGTCTCCCTCAAGATGTGATGTGGAATGAGCCGCCCGTGGTGTGTCAATGGCACGACGCTCGCAAAATCTGGACGTCCAACTATGTGAATGATTATAAGTTTAATGAAGACAAACTGACTATACAGTTCCGAACTGGAGTTCTTTGTGAGTATTTTACCTACATAACATAACATAACATCATGCCTTTTATCCCCGAAGGGGTAGGCAGAGGTGCACATTATGCCACTGTACAATATAACACCCACTTTTCACTATTTATGTTATGAGTCCCATGTAATAGGGTGTGGACCTATAGTCATATACCGGACACAATTCCAGACTCCGTGCTACTACTGAGATTTTTTTTAAAAACCTAGTAATAATTTGCCCGATCCGGGAATCGAACCCGAGACCCCTTGCCCGGCAGTCGCATATGCGACCACTCGGCCAACGAGGCAGTCTTGTGAGTATTTTAAGAAACTTTTATTTAATACGTGTGTCATATTTATGGGGTAGGGTAGCCAATGGCGCTGATGGTAAGCAATCGGCTCCGTTAATGGATACTTACTACAGCAGCGGTGTTAGAAGCGCATTACCAGCCTTTGAAGCCTCCGGTAACCTCACCAATACGGCTGACGTCGTTCAGAGTCATCCGTAGATAACACCAATGGAGTTAAAAATGAGATATCTTCACTAGTGGCCTAGCGGGCGTTGCCCTGTGTATTTTTGGTAGCCCTTTTTTTTAAGGGGGGGAAATCATCGATTGACTGCTCCCACCTGGGTGAGGCGGGAGGGAGTGTCAGACTCTTACTGACTAAAAACCACCCCGTTCCTTCTCCTGCACGTCGAGCCGGAGCCCCGGTTACCCGTTAAGTTCTCCGCGCGACGCGTTTGGTAGCCCTTATGAAAGTTAAAAATGTATCACAAGAAAAAAGAAGTTTTAATAAAATTAAAAGATATATTTATCCAACATCGTTTTGCCGTTTTGTGTTTTAACTTTTGAACGTACATTTTACGCGGCAAAAAAGAAACTACTTATATTTACTTAAATTATTTCTATCCTTACTAATATTATTATAAATCGGAAAGTGAGTTTGTTTGTTTGTTTGTTCCGATTTCACGCCGTAACTACTAAACCGATTGCATTGAATTTTTGCAGACGTAAAGTTAGAAGTCTGGATTAAATAATAGGGTACTTTTTATCCCGAAAAAATTTGATATTCCCGAGGGAAAACAAAAGTATTGGTATAGATGGCGCTGTATGTATTGGTATATGTCACATAGGCTACTTTTTATCATTTTGTGACGCGAGCGAAGCCGCGGGTAAAAGCTAGTAGTAAAATAAAGTTTTAATTATTTTTTGCTTATGCATGTTGGGGCCCCGTAGGCCGGGGACCCCGTATTAATAATACAGCAGACACGGTTAGGGTTGCCACCCGTACTTTATAATAAAGTATTGTAAGTTATTTAAGGTAATTGTACTCTATACTTTATAAGAATAATAAAGTACACGAAAATACTTTATTTTTCAAACTTCATTTCTATTAAAGTCGTAAGTATTTTTCGGTAAACTTATCGATTCGATATCGATAATTCGATATTTATCGATTTATGTTGAATCGATTTCGCCACTCGCCAGCGCCACTTAGACAATTTCTAGTAAAGATGCAATTGTTAAGTATTTCAATGCAATTGTTTAGTAAAGATACTAATTTAATACAAACTGCAAAAAGCAATAAAATATATATTTTAAAATATAATACTATTTAAATAAGAATAAATTGTACTTTATTTTTGTACTATGTATTTTTTTTTCTTACCTATAATCGTCAATGTACTTTAAATACCAAAAAAAAAGGTGGCAACACTACCCGTGGCCCGGGGACCCCGTATTAATAATACAGCAGATACGGTGCTAGCTACGCCAATAAAATTCGCTCATAATCATGGTAAAAAAAATGTCAGCTTTGTTTGATGCAGATTTTCTGTAAAGCTATTTTGTGTACCTACATTGTGTTTTTGTTTCCAGGGCCCATTGGTATCGCGACCTTGAGATACAGTAACCTGCCGTACCAAGCATGGGATATTAAACCGGATCCAGATGGGTGAGTATCTTGTAAAACCTGACCTAATTTGGTATTTTTTCTCTGCTCCCGCCTGGGTGAGGCGGAAGGGAGTGTCAGACTCTTACTGACTAAAAACCACCCCGTTCCTTCTCCTGCACGTCGAGCCGGAGCCCCGGTTACCCGTTAGGTTCTCCGCGACTCCGAATCGGCATCGGCCCTGTTGGGCCCCATCTGTGGTGGTCTGATGGCTCTTTGAGGCGCGCGCGGAACGCGACGTGCCGTACGCTCGGACTTAATTTGGTATACGGGAATTTATCATGCAAACCCGCATTGAGCAAGCGTGGTGATTAATGCTCAAACCTTTACGTGTGAGAAAAGGCCTTTGGTCAGCAGTGGGCATTATAGGCTGTTTATGAGATGTGTGTGTGAAATACTATTCCATGGAATTTATGATTTGGAACGAGCTCATAGCTTCATTAAAAATTCGTATGATCGGTATGACACATTTACATACACATACATAACTCCACGCGTGCCTCCCATGGGGGTAGGCAGAGACTATAGAACGCCAATTGCTACGATTCTTACATACGTCTTCAGCATCTTGCTTTCTCAATGCGGGTTGGCGATTTCAAACTTTTAGAAATTACTAGCGGACCCAACAGACTTTGTCCTGCATATCCACTTGAATGTATGAACAGAAAATCATTCAAATTAGTTCAGCTGTTTAGGATAAATAAACTAAACATTGACTGCAGCGCCATCTGTCGGGCTGATTCGTGAATCTAAACCATTCCCAGATCCCCTTAAACACACACAAAAAATTTCATCAAAATCGGTCCAGTCGTTTGAGAGAAGTTCAGTGACATACACTCCTGAAGAATTATACATACCAGCCAGGAATTATACATATTCCATCAGTATATATAAAGATAAGTCCAGGTTTCCTCACGATGTTATCCTTCACCGTTAGACAATGGTGTCTAAAAATCTTAGAAAGTACATATAACTCGGATAAAGTAAGTAACAATGGTATTTGCCGTCGGTAGGTTTCGAAACCTCACTCACACGTATGAGAAGCGGGCGTCTCAAACCTACGGGCCACCACGACATTCATTAATGTCATTATCATTTTCTTTTCTTTTTAAAAAATTGCATTCTGTTGGCCAGACGCGGCGTACTGATCACGGTGACGGGTCTCTGTGTGACCGTCACATTCGTCTGCGTCAGTAACTGGGTGAAGCTGAAGTCTATTGCCAACGCCTCCACGGCAGCGCTGTCTGAACACTTCAACAAGCGTTACTCCGTGAAACAGTTGGTTCGGGTATGTTAAGTTAAGCTTCTTTTTTGAGGGGGGAAATCATCCAATGACTTCTCCAGCTTTGGGTTAGGCGAGAGGGAGTGTCAGACTGTTACTGACTAAAAACCACTCCGTTCCTACTCCTGCACTTCGAGCCGGAGCCCCGATAACCCGTTAGGCCTTCCGCGGCTCCGTATCAGCCCTACTGGGCCCCATCTGTAGTGGTCTGATGGCTCTTTGAGGTGTGCGCGGAATACGAATGCTTAATTTAAACTTGGATTTTAAAGAAAGAAGAATGGAACATTTGCATTGATATGTATAATGTTACCCACACATGTTTATACAAATAAATTTATCTTTATCTAAAATCCATTTGTATGAATTGGGTGACATGCATTAGGCACAAAAACTAAAAGAAAAAAAACTTGGAAATTAAACCGCATATTGGTCGCAAGTGTGTCTATATATTCAATTCCTGGGTCGGAAATATTTTTTTTTTTTGAGTTATCATAATTTTTCTCTGTAGGTAATTACCTAATGTGTGGTTATGCGTCACTCTCTATTTATACAAGAGGCTCCGGGACATGGGAAGACCGAAAATGACAATAATTTTTCTCGGATCCGAGTATTGAATCAAAGTCTTCTTGCTGGACGGCCGCGCTTGCGACAGTGCTTTTTTTATTTTTGTAGACTTCCAAAAGTGCCATTTTGATCTAACAGAAGTTAAAAATGTAGACTAAGGCAGGTTCTAAAATTCTTTTTTTTTTTGACTGCCTTATTGGCCAAGTTGTCGCAAGGGCGACTGCCGGGCAAGGGGTCTCGGGTTCAATTCCCGGGTCGGGCAAAGTATTACTTGGTTTGTAAAAACCTCAGTAGTAGCAGGGAGTCTGGAAATGTGCCCGGTATATGGCAATAGGCTCACCCCCTATTACATGGGACTCATAACATAAATAGTGAAAGTGGGTGTTACATTGTACAGTGGCATTAAATGCCGTAATGTGCCTCTCTGCCTACCCCCTTCGGGGATAAAAGGCGTGATGTTATGTTATGTAAAATTCTTTATTATTTGAATTCTGCATAGGTAATTATTATCCACAGATAATGCGTGAAGCTGCCTGCGACTTCTTCCCAGACTTCGACGGCCACAACCACGTGAAAGGGTCGTCTCCTAAGGAATGGGTGATGGAGAGGCACACGTACCATGCCATGGCATTCCTGTCCAGGGCTTATAACTTCCAGTCTAGCAGGTACAGAGATTACGGATGAACTAGCTACCTACATACTCCATTGTAATACGGTAGTAGACAGGTAGTCAAATTCAATACTTTTATTGAAATGTCAAAAACGATACTTTTCTATGAATTTTGTATTGGATCGCTACATATGACGTCATCATACTTCTGCGTCAAATAGCATACTTATTTCCTTAAAATTAGCGAGAAAAAATTTTAAAGTAAGTAAGTGTGGGAGAGCCATGCTTCGGCACGAATGGGCCGGCTCGACCGGAGTGATACCACAGCCTCACAGAAAACCGACGTGAAGCAACACTTGCGTTGAGTTTTTGTCGTCGTGTGAGTGAGGTTACCGGAGGCCTTATTACCCTCCCCTTCCCCAATCTCCTCAATCCCTGAATCCCCAACGATCCTCAAACTCCTAATCCCCAAAAAGCCGGTAACGTCCCTGTAACGCCTCTAGAGTTCCAGGTGTCCATGGGCGACGCCGATTGCTTACCATCAGGTGATCCGTCTGCTTGTTTACTGGCTAATGCCATAAAAAAAGTCAAATTAATGGGTGAGAGTATGATAATTTTTTAATTATTTATTGCATTGTAAAGTTATAATAATTTATTTTAAACCTAGGAAATTAGCCAATTTCACTCGCTGTTCGGCTCATACTGATGGTAGCGTGGTGTGGAACTGGTAGCCTTTCGCAATAAATGGAGTATGCGACACAAATAGCTATATCTAAGCAATCAGTGCCGCCCGTCTTTGCGATTTGAGGATTGAATATTGGGAAGGTAGGGGAGGAGAGGAATCGGGCCTCCACTGACCTTACTCTCGCGCCGTGTTCACGCCGGTTTTCTGACTTCCGAACTCCTAAAAGAGGTGACGTTACGCATTTGTTTATTTTCAGATGGAATCAGTCAGCAGGCTACCGTAACATCGTACTACAAAGCAGAGAGAATGTCGACATGAAACGAGTGGTATGCATCGGATAAAATAAAACGTATTAAATATTTTAAGTCCGGATCGAAGTGCAGGAGTAGGAACGGAGTGGTTTTTATTCAGTAAAAGTCTGACTCTCCCTCCCGCGTAACCCAAGGCGGTATGATTTTTCCCCTCAAAAAATAGCTTGAGCTGTACATCTTACTCAGACGTTACTTATGTAGCGTAGTATCAGCATAGCTTTAGCTTAGTATCAATGTCAACTAGCATAGGTACTTAGCACATCTCTGGTGGAAAAGCAATCTTTTTTTTAAGAGTGGAAAATCATCGAATGACTGCTCCCTCCTGGGTGAGGCGGGAGAGAGTGTCAGACTCTTACTGACTAAAAACCACCCCGTTCCTACTCATGCACTTGCCCCGGTAACCCATTAGGTTCTCTGTGGCGGAAAAGCAACCTTAGGGTGATAGTTTTGCAAATGCGACTTCTGAGTCCAACTGAAACAAAATATTAGGCTGTTCATTCTAAAATAATAGCTTTATTTGAAAAAAAAACATAACATTTCTGGTTTTATCTACATTTTCAGAATGTGGTCTGCCATGGGCACACGCACACTGTTTATGTACTACTAGCTTTTACCCGCGGCTTCGCTCGCGTCACAAAAGGATAAAAAGTAGCCTATGTGACATATACCAATACATACAGCGCTATCTATACCTATAATAAATGTAATAGCAAATTTCTCTGGGATAACCTTACGTCTGCAAAAATTCAAAGCAATCGGTTTAGTAGTTACGGCGTGAAAGCGGAACAAACAAAAAAACAAACTCATTTTCCGATTTATAATATTACTAGCTTTTACCCGCGGCTTCGCTCGCGTCACAAAAGGATAAAAAGTAGCCAAATGACACATACCAATACATACAGCGCCATCTATACCAATACTTTTGTTTTCCCTTGGTAATATCAAATTTCTCTGGGATAAAAAGTACCCTATTATTTAATCCGGACTTCTAACTTTACGTCTGCAAAAATTCAAAGCAATCGGTTTAGTAGTGACGGCGTGAAAGCGGAACAAACAAACAAACAAACTCACTTTCCGATTTATAATATTAGTAAGGATAACCAGACGTTTTATTGTGTATTTTTATGTCTAACTTTAATTTTTCAGTCGAAACTCCAGCTGATGATGATAAATCCTGAAAGAGCCGTGTTATTGAAATGCACGGAACAAGCAAATGAGATCAACTTTGATTCACAACCTGGATTGAAGGTACGCACCTGCTCTCGTTATATTAGTAGGTAGTACTAGTTTTTCGTCCTCGGCTTCATACGTGCGTGGTGCTGGACCAAGGACCTACTCCTTGGAGGAGGGATTTGCCGTAATATCCACGCAATGCAAGGCACGCAGGGGGGGTTGAAGACGAGATGTGCAGTTTAATAGGTTCAAGAGCGCTTTACTTCCGATTTTAATGATCGATTCCTTTTTACATCTCTGGACCGAACTTCATACAATTTATTCATGTCAAAATTCAATCTTTATCCTAAGGTTTTGGATTAAGTTCAGCCGTTATTTTGGCTGATTGTAGTCTCTTACGACACCCACGGCAAGAGGAGAGGTACTGTGACAAAATGTAATCTGCTGTCACCACCAGTCACCATACTCACCATACGGTATCTAAATACGCTTACGGTGGCCGGAGATCGTCTCGCGATCCCCGACGCCCGGAGTGTCCTTCGCGACCGAATTGTGAGGAGGCAGCGCTTCGCTGCCTCGTGAACCTCGCCTCCTCCTTAGCTAGCATGACTGCTTCGCAAAAGGAGGAGACGGCATCCCAGTCCCCCTCGCTCCGCATCATGGCCCACACTACAGCGGCCTGTCGCACAATTTCAATGCATGTGTCACTGGACCGCCAAACCAAATTGACGGTTACGGTTAGATTCGATCGTCTATTTTGTGCCTTAGGGTGCGTCCACATCTGGCGAATGCGCAGCTCGCGAGGCGCCCGCGTGCATTTATAATTATTCTTTACAAGTTGACCCGGCAAACTTCTTGCCGCCTTAAAAATATATTTTTACCTTTTAAACCTTCCCTGGACTTCCATAAACATTTCAAGACCAAAATTAGCCAAATCGATTCAGCCGTTCTCGAGTTTTAGCGAGACTAACGAACGGATTTATTTAATTTAAAAAAAATTGCCCCACACTAGGGTTTTCTCCTGTGTCGTGGGTGCGTTTACAAACATAAAATATCATATACACATGACACCCAGACCCGGAACAACAATCTGTGGATCACACAAAGAGTTGTTCCGTGCGGGATACGAACCCGCAACACGTTGCGCGGCAGCCAGTTGCCTAACCACCGCGTCAACCGTGCAGCAGCAATTAATTATAATTTATAGATATAGATATACGAATCTTGTATGAATTAAGCACTAAACCATCGTCGTGTCTGGGCGTGCAGTCGCAAACGACTCGCGACCGGCACATTCGCGAAATGTGGGCGCACCCTTAGACCTTAAGATTACTACACCTAATATCTTAATATTTCAGTTCTTTCCCGGAGTCTTCACGTTCAACATGCTCTACGGATCAGTCGACGCACGGAGAATGACATTCAATATGAAATTCAAACTGGTCGAAACTGTCTTCGAATTACTACAAGAGATTAAACCTTGTAGCTACTCATAAGATGAATTTAAGTCCCTGCTAACCGGACTCCGAATAGTCCAATGTTTATGAATAACGAATTTAAGTATAATTTAAACTGTCAAACACCAAGCGGTCACCGGTGACCGCGACCGTAAAACCGGTACTCGACGAGTTAATTACTAATAGGGCCCCATGCAAGTTTATAAGTCAAACTGTCAACGAGGCCCCAAATAAAACAGACTTATCAGGGGCCCTTACTCTTAGACTGGGCCCCAACGCAGGGCCGTCACTAGTCAATGTTGCCAATGAAAAATGATTACCTATCCATGTTTTTATTTTCATTTAGGTAAGTTTTTTTACTATACTGAAATTAATTAGTAAAAAAGTTCATGAAATATTCATTTTACTTATACATAATGTAAAATGGATGTCATTAATTTTGTGATTATTCAATAATATTCATTAACCTACCATTCATTGTATATAAGTGTCTAATAATATGTTTCTTTACAATAGGGTAGTTTCCTAAATTTTATTTTAATGTCCGTCTGGTAGATTAGCTTAAAACATTAGACACGTATATTTTCTTTTCTCACAAAATTAAATACTTTCGACGATATAATAATCTGAAATATCGTGTGACGTCACTATGTGCTACATTTTGTAGTACTTTGTGACGTAACGACTTCCCACTCCTAAACGTAACTCCGTTTTATCTAAGTATTGTAACTTTATACGAGAAAAAAAAAATCGTGTCTAATATTTTTTCATTATCTAACTGACGGACTAATTAGATTTTTTTAAATTTTCATTCCCTGGCAACTACCATATTACTAAAGATATTAACTACATTGTAAATAAAAAATTAAATAAGTCATGTCTATACCTACTTTATTTAACCTACTTCGCCATTTCTGCTCGGTGCCTATTGATCATAGCGTGATGTTTATAGCCTTCCTCGATAAATTAACTATGAAACAAAAGAAAAATGAATTGGAGCAGTAGTTCCTGAGATCAGCGCGTGCAAACAAACGAACAACCTCTGGCGTATAAAATAACTAGCTATTGCCCGCGACTTCATCCGCGTAGAATATAAATTTTAGAATTTCATGTTTTTGTTGCAATTTCCCAAAATGATATATTAACATAACATCACTCGCGCCTTTCATCCCCGAAGGGGTAGGCAGAGGTGCACATTATGCCACTGTACAATGTACCACCCACTTTTCACTATTTACCTCGTGTGTTCATAAGTTTTGAGACAAACTTTTTGCTTATAAAAATAAAATAAAAATTACTGGCTGCTGTATATTTCTTTTTCTAATTTTGAATTTGGAATGTTAACTTTTAATATCTATGATTTCGGATTATTTTATTTAAATTTTCTCGTAATGGAGGGAACAAAAGAATTACGTGCGACCGTCATTTCATTATTTAAGGTGGGAAGA